AATTTAACTGTCAGTTAGTTTAACTTTCAGTAAGATTAACAGTATGTTAGATTAACGGCTAGTTAGCTTAACTGTCAGTTAGTTTAACTAATAGTTTCCTTAACTGCCAGTTAGTTTAACTGTCAGATAACTAAACTGTCAGTTAGTTAAACTGTTAGTTAGTTTAATTGTCAGTAAGTTAATTGCCAGTTTGTTAAACTAAGTAATGCAACTGTCAGTAAGACCGACTGTCAGTTCTAATAACGGCTAGTAAGTTTAACTTTCAGTTAATTTAACGCCAGTTAGTTAAACTGTCAGTCAACTTGACTGTCAGTTAGTTTATCTGTCAGTTCAATTTACTGTCAGTAAAGTTAACTGTCAGTTAGATTAACTTTCAGTTTCGGTTAGTAAGATTAACTGTCAGTTAATTTAACTATCAGTTAGTATAACCTCCAGTTAGTTTAACTGTCAGTAATTTTAACTGTCAGTTAGACTAACAGTAAGTTAGATTAACGTCTAGATAGTTTAACTGTTAGTTAGCTTAACTGTCGGTTTGATTAACTGCCAGTTAGTTTAACTGTTAGTTTGATAAACTGCTAGTTAGTTTAACTGTTAGTTTGATTAACTGCTAGTTAATTTAACAGGCGTGTCTTCTTCGAATTTCTACTTCGCCTGTTTCTTTTAATGACTTTTCTCTTCTCTTTCATCCATCAAAGTATATATTAGTTATTCGCTCTGGTTTCTAGACGAACAAAACCAAAAGTATCCCACGGGAACAGAACATTTTTCCAGGATAAAAAGTAGCCTAAATGTCATTCTGATGTATGCACTGATACAGTTTCATTAAAATCCACATTTCATTAAAACAGTAGTTTTTGTGTACTAAGGTGTATAAGTTACTATACATTTTTAAAAATCCCACGGGAGCTCTTAAATTTTCCGAGATGAAAAGTATCTAAAATGTTAACCGGGGATATAAGGGACCACCATGCAAAATTTTCGGAGATTAACCCGAACAAACATAATAACAGACAGAAAAAAAATATTGAAAAAAATCTGGATTTGTTCTATTTCTCTTCTTACATCCCCCTGATTCGGTTTTTAGCATATTTTTTCTTTGTACAGACATTTAACGCCTACAGTTTTATTATATGTATAGATTATATCTTCTGCATTCAAATACTTCTTTGTAGTCTGAACGCGGGAAAAATCGGTTGTTCTGCTAGTAATTAATATGTTAAAAATTTAATTCAGTTCATTTGGCAGATTCATTAATTTTCAATGTACTCTAAGGTAGTGGCAGACACGAGATCTGTGGATTTTTTATTAAGTTTATAGATAGTTGAATATGGTATTGCCACATCTACAGTCATCGAGAACCAAATAGGTAGTTACGAAGGGAAATGCTATGAAAACTGATAATCAATTGTTTACATATACATATAAACAACTCAGCAGAGATCAACTCTACTTATTAAAAAAAAATTACGTTTATTGTCTCGCGTTACATTTATTTTTTAAGTCGGGGGTTTTTAAATTATTTTATCCTTTTTCAATTACTTTTTAACATTCGTGGGTTATTTAGTAGTTCTGTTTTTGTAATATAGGGTGTTACATGTTTGTGTTTTTTTATATACATATTTTTTATTGATCGTCTATTGACGCTACTATACAAAAAAACAGTTGATAAAACAGAGGAGAAAAAGGGTGTGAACTAAATTGTCCTTGCCAATTTATATATAGATATTACAATATAATCAAATCATTATTCAGAACTTAACGCGCCATGAATTATATGAACAGCTAAGTTTCAAAGTCGACGATTTGTAGCCCTATTAGCAGGAGTCCATTGTGTTCGTTTTGTACTAACCTAGTTATTAATTGAAGTACTTTATGATATAATTTAAAGTAAAACTTTAAGTAAATACTTTGCATACTTATACTAGCGGCTCACCCTCGATTCGCTCGGGTTCGTCTCTAGGTATGTTTTAAATAGATATCAATAGTTTAAATTAGCCAGCGTTAACCATATGAATTTTAATATTTTTTTCGTGAAATTTACCGATATTTTATTCTGCTAGTTACTACTACTAGCTACTAGTTATTCTGCTATTCGGGACTGAGACAAATCCAACAAATCAAAAACCATGAAAATGGTCCAGCAGTTGTCGAGTTATAAGGATTGTAACAAACCCGACTTTGTTTTATATTTAGGTATATATAGATTAAGAAAAACTTTACCAATACCTCTATTTCCTACCTTCACCCACGTGTTTAATATAGGACTTGTCAATTTTAAGTATTCACTATCTTTAAAAGTGCGATAAAGGATATGATATTAATTCCTCAAATATATGATAGACTAGCAGAACTTCGCTTGCGCTAAAACTACAAAAAAAATCAAAAATGGTAGGTTTCATACAAACTTTCATCCACTATTTTATAATAATTTCGAAATTCATCCCATAAGGGGGTTATGGGATGAATTTCGAAAAATGCTGAAACACGAGTTTATTTAATATACCAAGTTTCAAGTAATTTTGATCACAAATATTTTTTTTGGGTTGTATAATAACGTGTTTTCCGTGGGAATGTGATAATCTCCTGCGGTAAAAAGTAGCCAATGTCACTCTCTAGCCCTCCGACTATCTTCACACAAAAAATCACGCCAATCCGTCTCTTTATTTCGATGTGAAAGAAGGACAAACAAACAAACAAAAAAACAAACAAACAAACACACTGTCACATTTATAATATTAGTATGGATAACAGGCATTCTTATATTATCAGCCAGTCACCGTCCACTGCAGCACGTAGGCCTTCCCAATAAGAGCTAATCATGTCTTGGGCGAACTTTCTCAAGTCATCGGTCCATCATGATGCGCTTCCGTAGACGCAATCTCCAATCTAACACGTATCAGCTCCATAGACCATAGGTATATACATCCAAAGGTACGGCAGAAAAAATATCGGTCACTTTAGTTCTCTGGTGACTGGTTTCTTTCAGCTACAGAAATACCCAACTTTGATAATAATAGGTATAACTTATTTTTTATCTGTGGATAAATAAATCTGTTCTTTTAAAGATATCATACACTAATTAAATAGTGATTATAACGGTCGCCATCACCATTCATTCGATTACTATAAAACTGTAGGCAGTAGTTGCATGCAATGTGCATGCGTGTGAATGCTTCTGACTTAATACTATCAATGTACGATAGGTGGCACGCGAGATACTTTTTGAATTTTACAGTCTGAACAAAACGAACTATATTGTATTGTATACATTTAAAACTTAAATTTAAGTGAGATCTATGTTACTATGTGCTATCTACACGTGTGAACAGGTTGTACGTATGCATGTGTGTATCTATTTATAATAATTTTATAAAGCATTTTAAAGACAGTCGACACTCTTATCGCCTTGTTCAAGATCTATAAGTATAAAGTAAACTTTAACACTTTGATAGGTATAAGGTAGGTTATTAAATAATTTAGATGTACATAATATTATGTACTTATGTGTAATCGTGTCACTTTACTTCTGGATATAATCAGGGAAAGTTTGCTTAGTTTAGGCTAGTAAATAGGTACATATAAAATATAATTTGGCCATAAATTTTATTTACTATATAATATTAAGATAATAATTTAACTTTTTAGTCAATTATTAAAATAAGTATTTGTTAGAAATCTTACTTATTCATTCAATTTTACAACAGATGGCGCTGTACCCTTAATATTTGGAAACAAAATTTACATTTTATTTTCGACTATTCCTATATTATTATACAAATCGAATAAAAAAAAAAGTAGAATATAAAAATATTTTCGCAAAAAAATATGTATAATATGTAATAAATGTATATTCGAGGTAAACAGTTGAAAAATAGTAAAAAGGTAGTATATAATAATCGATTAATGGAAATTAATGAAACACGTACATATATCGGTTATTTCAAACTTTAAACCGCTAAGGGCAGAATAATAAGTATTGGGAAATGTCAAATTGTAAAAAATAGGCTAGGCTGAGGTTTCTGCTTAATGTAAAAACCTAAAGGTGTATATAACATAATGTTCAACTACATTATAATTAAACAAAATCAAAATACAAACCTTAGTGCTTAGTTTACCGTTGTTTTGTATTAAAATTATTTTCCTATTAAATCTGCAAATTCCGTATAATTATAGGTATATAATACAAATAATTTCTTATGATTCTTTTTCTATCAGTAAACATATTTTTATCGGAATAAAAAACAGTCTATAGCACTAAGCGGTAATGCAGGTTTCTATTACTATTTCCTTTAATTATGTACATATTTATACATTATTATGTATAATTTTCTTTGCTCTAAGAAGGCAATTCATTTGTTTAAATTTAATCAGAGTGTGATTTTATCGTTAAAGTAAAAGTTTTGAAAGTCATAAAATAGGATAAAGATCTATTAAACATAATACAACAAAAAATATTACATTTATCTATATACTAGAATGGGTATAAATATTTTCAAATATAACTTTTTTAATACAAGTCCGTATGTAGTGTTTCTATAGTATTTCTTCAAAAACGATTTTATGTAACAATCTGAAACCTACGTTCTCCAATTATTATGTTTTGATTCATATGCTAATAGAATTGTAGGTTATTTTTAATCTTATGATTATTAATATGTAATACCTATTTATAAATTATTTTGTTTATAACATTCATGTTTGGTTATTTTAATAGGCAGTATTTAACGGTTAGATGTTTGTTACTAATATAAAACTTATGTAATTCTGATGAAATCATATATTAATGTTTCTGTAGTAGGTATGCTGTGTGGAGTGTTCGAATCCATTTACTGTTCTAAATTATGCGTAAAACGTCCATTTGACGCTCACCCCTCTTCCCTCTTATCGCTTGGACAGGAACGGACGGGGAGCCTCGGGCGGGGGTGCCGGACTAGGGCAAATTGGGGGGTTCACAGCCCCCCAAGTGAGGGGGGTCCGAAGTCCACCTCACCCTTTAGCTACCCTGAAGTTCCATCTCTCACACCTATAAATTCGGGTACACATACACCCCATCGGGCGGGGTGGTCCATGGCGTACCAATCCTTTCGTTGCGGCCGTGTCACATTTGCCAGGGCTCTGGTGACCTCCACTACAAATTAATATTCAGAAACGTTTCCGTTCCGATCGTTAATCATTGCCGTTCCTGCCGGTCTCGGCTCGCTCATGTACTCGAAACGTTACGCCTTTATCTAATTACATACACGAAATGAAGCTTTATTAAAATATTAATTTTGACAACATAATTCTCTTGAAATTATCAAAATTAAAAGAACTAATTATTAAAAAGTTCAAAACTTGAGGAATAATTAAAGAACGCGTAATAATTATAGCTATAATATTTTATTTAATTTAAAAAATACTCAATATACCTAAATTAAAAAATATGATCGGGATATAATAATTGTTTTAATAAATAAAACTTTTGTTGGACTCCTTACATAATATTCATTACATTATTAATTGTGTAATTTAAAGAAACTTAACAAAAAAAATGACTAATTAAAAGTTGTAAATCATGTTAATATTTAGTCGAAGACAAGCAGTGATATTTTCATTTGATTTCATTCATTCATTTGATTTAATTTGATTACAATCTTATTCATTGTGCGATTTTTATACTACAATCTTATTCATAGTGCTATTTTCATACACATGTTACGTACCGAAATGTTAATAGATTATTTCATAACTACAACCTGTAACATATAAAACAATCAATATATTTGCCTAGTTTATACAAGAATAAAATTTATAAATATAACATAATGCAATAGGCGGTTGCTTTAGTAAATAATAAAAAGAAATATTAACCAGTTTAATAATGTAAACCAAAGATATATCTTAAACATTTCGGATTTAAAAAATGAAACAAATATAAAAAATAAAAGAAATAAATCCTCCTTCTTTTACCCCATCCATACACCTTTCTTGTCATGGGACAAAATTATAGTATCGAGTTACGAGTATATTTAAATCCAATCATTTTATATACTTTCGTAATTTCTATACGCACCTATCCCTTATTCGGTGATCTTTTTCTATACCTTCCTATACCGGGATTAAAAAATTCTTTCTGATCCGAATACTAAGTATTAACCTTGTATAAAATCTATACATATAATAAAATTCTGAGTCGAATCTGTACATTAAATATTTTATTTAATACTTATTGAAATAGTCATAATTATCGATACAAAGAGCGCATCTACATTTTTTAGAATTTTTGTCTGTCTCTATGTCTGGGAACGCATCACGAGAAAACTACTGGACAGATTTTGATGAAATTTGATATAATAATAGCTGGTTATCCAGGTCAACATATAGGATAATTTTTACTGCGAAAAATATTTCATCTCTGAGAAATCTATACCAACCGTTAAAACGTACCTAACTAGAGAAGAACCCGAGCGGAGCGACGGTGAGTCGCTAGTAATAACTATATAATCTTATTCGATTTAAGCAATGCATTGGATGTATATCTTTAGCTAATACTTTTAATGTTTTCCATCAAACAGCGTCTTTGGCCGATTATTTAACTTAAACGTCTTACACATTAAAGTGACCTTACTGCCAGATACTTTCTCCTCCAAAGTTTTAACAGTGTTCGTTAGCATATATTTTTTAATGAGTTGAGACTTTTGGTTTGCATTCATTTGATTTTTATTGTCCTCTTGATTTAGATCATGTGAATATTGTTTCTCACTTTTATCGTAATCAGATATCGAGGAACTACAGCTATTATTACAGACGACATCTACTCTGATAACTTGAACGGTTGCGGGACTTTCTGTTCTAGAAATTGTTAAGCTTTTTCTCTTTCCATTTTTATGAAACGCAACTTTCGTATCTTCCGTATTAACGCTCTCATCAGAAGCCTTCAAAATGAGACCTGACTTAGGATGTGCTCTTTGATATCTTTTTCCCCTTTCTATCTTTGGTTTCTTTCTCGTCTCATGACTTTTTATATCTACTTGTACACATTTATTTTGTTTACGTTTATTGTTTAAACAAAATAAAACAATGCTAGATTTGGCTGAAGATGATCTCGACTGATCATTATTTGAAATATACTTGGTATAATCTTCAACATAATCGCTAAGTTCCGACGAACGGGTTACACTGTATTGATTACACTCATCTACAATTTGCTTTACAAACATTCTATGCTTATGACAATTAGATAAACTTTTATATTTAAAACTTGAGCGTACTTTCCTGTGTTGATCGACAGTGCCTTGAAACTGTAAATTTTGTACGGAAAGAAATAGATCTTCGTGGCATTGCTGAATTTGGCTGCTACTTGTCACATTCAAGTCGTAACTTTGATAATCGTTGCAATAAAATCTGTAAGTAAAATAAAATATTTATATAAATAATAATATCCTTCATTGTTATATAATGCATTTAGTTTTTATAAGAAAGCAACTACATACATTTAAATTTTATAAAAGCAGAAGAAAAATACAGAGGTTAAAAATTTAAAACCAAAATAAAATACATCATTGAAATAATAAACACTATTATATATTATAACCTGTCATAAACATCGATCCATCGTGGATCTTCCTCATGCTCCGGATTGACCATACGTTGTTGACAAAATTTTCTTGGTTTATCAATATTCGGTTTATTGCATTTCATTTTGGATCTTTCTTGTAGATTTAACTTCACACATTTCATGATTTGATGATCTTTTCTGATAGAAACAAAATGGTTATCATTATTAGTTTTCAAAAATTATGTAAACCTCTTTTAACTATCAAATTAATTATAAATATTACTAGATGGAAACATTGTTAATAATTAGCAGATATCGTGATATAACGTAGTTAACTTTTATAAACTAACACGAAATATAGCATGGAATTGTTTGAGCACTATAAACTGTGATCGTTTTACGACATTGATTACGATAGATACCTACTAATAAACTATGAAGAAAATAGAATAAAATTAAAAGCTCGCTTACGAGGTTTTTGACCAAATCATTCTATTTTGGATTGTACAAAGAATATTTAGTTATCAATATTTTAATCAATTAATTAGACCCTATAATTAAATAATTTTAATAGACAACATGCTTAAAAACATAATTATTATTTTTTGCATTATATTAATATTATCGTCAGACGATTAATGAGACGTTATTCGTAGGTTTTTAAGCCACTTCATTTTTAAAGAACAAAAAATATGCTAAACTCGCACCTTTTAAGATATTTATTTATTTCAACTATGCACAATAAATTTCAACTTAACTCTATAAATGGGGCTGGGGCCCTAATTTAATTAAGCTTTGTATTTAATAAAATTATAAAATATAAGAGTCATCTATACTAATAAAATATTATAAAGACGAAAGATTAGATTTTTTGTTTGTTTGTTTGTACTGAATAGACACCGAAGCTACTGAACTGATTTAGATGAAATTTGGTAAGAAAATAGTTTGAGACCCTAGGAAGGACATAAGTTCATTTTTTATACCGGAAATCATCCTTAACGGGGTAAAAATGGGGATGAAAGTTTGTATGGGCAATCAACCTAGGGACGAACCGAACAATATGGCCGTTTCTTTCAAATACAAAAAAAATACTATTTTTAACGTATTCCTTTTGTTTGTTATCTGAAAAATATCCGTATTTATCATATTCTCCAATGTTATCATCTAGTTTAAGTTTATACATTAAAGAATAGTATAACAAGTCAATTCTACTATTTTAGAATTGTTATCTGCGTTAGCCAATTGAAAACAACTAGACGAATTTCAATAGAACTTTTTGAAGTTATACATCCTTTAACGGGTTAAGAAAAAAATATGAGAGTGAATTTTTACGATGCGACAGAATTTGATTACAATATAAATTAGTCGTTATTAGAGTACAGTATGAAGTTAGACGTTAAATATCCCTTTAGCATAGTTGTATGCGTAAATGCATTTCCCAACATAAAAAAAAAGAAAAAAAAGAGGTGACAGGTAGAAATCGTCATGTAACGAAAAAGGTTATGTAACGATAAAGTTTATGCTTTATTATTTACTAAAATATATATAAATAATTTATAAATAGTTTAAATTCAATACAATGTTAAGGTGTATTTCACTACCAATTGATCAAATGAATCTGCTGATGCTGCTTGAGTTCCCTGCTGCTATATAAAGATGAGTTTATATACTAAATAGAATATATACATATAGAAGATTTGCTTTCGTGTTTCATCATGCACATGCACATGTTGTGCGTAACATCAAAATTGAAAGCGATTTTATAAATGTTCTAACTTTAAATTTAAGAATAATATTAAAAAAATATTTTCGTATCGATAGCCTATTTTTATTGAGGAATGTCGTAGGCTAAATATTAGAACTTTAAGAAACTGAGCAATTATACATAAGCAATCTACGAAGGAGGAGACAGAAGCAAACGTCAGCACTAAATACGTTAGAAGAGTACAATAATTACAAACGCGAGTGCAGGCACTAATATACGCATATAACTCAATTATATAATATTATTAAAAAAAATATGTTTGGGATATCCTTATTTCACAAGTAAGAGAATATATATAAATAAACAGTTTTTAAATTTTAAACACATATGTAGTATGTACATCTGCTTGCATAGTATTACTTTAAATTAAAAGATAAAACACATTTGCCCTCGACAGAGCGTTGCACATTTGATAGAATAAGACTACTTGAACTCACTGTTCTATGCTTATTTATATGAAACGGGGATTATGCTTACTGGGAAGCGAAAGAAAGATGATTGTGACGGGTAAATTCATAGGCAATAGTAAAGATTAAGTGATATCAAAATGATTATAAATTAAATATTTTTTTGATATTATTATATATTCCGGTTAAACTAACATTTAACCTAACGCAAATACGTCATGGTAAAACTGTATAGTAAAATCTTCTTACTCATAATTTCATCATAATACCACGTAAGGGTATGAAATTAGATATCAAGATATTCATAAAATTTGTTGGGGACGCAAGGACGTTTATTTACCTATACCTATAAATTATAATTTTATTTAATATTTTACATTACCTAATTTAGTTTTATACATTTGTTATAATCTAAAGTGTATGCTTTTCATTGTATGTATTTCTATGACAGACTTTTAGGTGAAAAAGTCGTGGTGAACTAACTTACGGTGGCTGTGATGAAACTGAAGATACACCAATAATAATTAATGCTACTTTTATAAGTATTATTATACATATGTACATATGTCATTAAAATCAAAGTTATAGAAGATATATTTTTAAGTAATTAGTATTAGACTATGCATATTTAAGGGTATTTCTCCGAGATTGCGTTCTCGGAGAAATACCCTTAAACAAAATATGTAGGTACCTATATAAAACCTTAAATGTCACGACTTGTGACAAATCGGGCTTAGTATACAAATTAGTAACAACTTATAGCGGACTTAGCGAAGCGTCTTTTCATTCTTTTCAAAATACATTGTTTAGTTTCTATTGATTTTGAAAGTAATTATACTTGTGCTGCTTGCTCTTTCTTTACAATAGATTTGCTTTGAGTAGAAAAGAGAAGGAAATATGCAAAGATTTTTTTCGGAAAGTATTGATAAAGCTACAATGGCGGCAGGATGGTGTATTTGATCTAGCAACGTAGCGGTCCATATGTTCTTGGGAATGGCTTCGCCAACGATGCAAAAAATATTTATGTTATTATACTTGGATTACATAGTTTTGAAATTAGAAAAACGTACACATTTAGTCACAATATTAGTCCCCCATTAATTTTTTTAAGTATAAACAATTATCTAATTTATATATTTCAAAAACGAATCCGATAACGTCGAAAAACAATATTATTATATCCAACGTTTTTTTACATAGATATGGCTTAATCGTGACTTGTGGTATCGCTTTATCGACTTACTTTGCATAATTACTACAGCAGAATAAAACACATTTAGTTGTGTCTTTAAAGCCACCATGAGCTATATTTTTATGAAGCTCGAATTTTAACTTGACACGCAATCATGTAAATTATACGACAAACTGGGCTAATTTAGGTTAATTCAATCTAATCTGCGCATATTCAAAAGTTTTTTCTTGGTTCATGTACTTTCATTAGATTTTTTAAACATTACAAACTTTATATATTTTATATTACTTCAGTAATATTTTAAAAGCTAAAATAACAATATTAGAATCAAATCTATTTCTTCGTAGTATACATAACGCACACAATGTTGAAATAATAGGCACAGCTGCTACACGACTAGACGAGCATACACACACAAACACACATTTCTTGGTGCATCCATCGCACACGGACATCTTGGATAATAACAAAAAAAACACATTATTATTATCCTAGAACCAGGACATTAACAGCGCATCAACTATTTTGTACCCTAAGCCCACTACTCAGAGTTCAATATAGCTAGCATCAAAATTGAAAGCGATTAACTTAGATTTTATCCTCAACCATTTATAAATATGCTGTTATAATACCTATGCGTATGCATAGAAGGCTGAAAATTGCTTGCAACATACTTTTAAGGAATTCAAGTTTAATAATGTTTGAAAAAAGCCATGTATCTTAGTAGGCGCCAAATGCACGTTGCACTGCTCCTACGAATTCTGTAGAATTTTGTTCGACGTGATGTTTATTGCATATTGGTTATTATCAGTTTACGTCACATGGTTGCAAAGAGTGCTTAAAATGTTAATTTACTTTTGGATTAACTTTTAATTCCAGAGACAATACCCCTACTTAAAACAAAGCTCGTGAAAGTTTTATTTCGATTCTTGTTTTCCAAAAATTGTAAGAGTTCTTACTTCTATTTGAATGGCAAACAATAAAGTACAAAGAACGCTTGGTAGCCTACTGAGACATTTAAATAAATTAGAAAAGGCTTTAAATTTTCTTGTATATCATTTTGTTAAGTAACTAAGTTTTTCAACTTTATCTATTTAGAACTTAGTAAAAGATAAAATCAAAAAGATTAATTACCTTATTTTCTTTATTATTTAGACTCAAAAGTTGCTCTTCTATATTGTATAGGTAGCATAGACAAAACTTTAAATATATCATAACCTCAAAAGACAATCAGTAAAAGCAAAAATATATTACTTAGTATAATCACAAATGCGAAATACTTACAAAAGCTTCTTAATGATTAAATATATAATATTTCAGTCCTTACTTTGTAAAGCAAAGATGTACCTGTAGGGTGTGAAACATGATATCCTTGACCTCTTTAATTTAAACTTGTATTTTCACTTGCACACCCATACAACTGTTACAAGCACGAGTATAATACAACCTGTCTCTGGGTCAAATATTACAAAAGGGGTCGCATCGACCATTCCGCATTGATTACTCTGCCGCATCCTAATTCTTTAGTCCTTACACCATTTCCATGACAATGGACTGACCCCCTGCGTTTCTTGAAGAAATAAAATAGTATCTCTGACCACGCCTATTGCCGATACTTTATTGTATTACTAATTTAAACGGTGACTGATTTATGCATTTTTTTATCCTGTCAAGACGAATTAATGTCTGCGTCGAAGTAATTATTTTAGACGCCCAAAGTCGCTAGGCGTGTGTAATTATTATTATATAATGTGTGATTATGCTGTCCATGAGAAAAGTTGCGCTCTTCATATCCGTTCCAATTTAAATTGTCAGTTA